GGCTGCGCGTTACTCACAATGCCTTGACTTACGCGTGCCTCTCCGTCACACGTTCTTGCCGACTCACTACTGGAGCCGCTTGTGTTCTCCTCTGGCCTGTTTCTCGGTCGGGTCGATGTCTCGCGAGCATCATATCAATCACTGTGCACCGTTTCCTGATTGGCTGAGGCAACAAGCACCGTTAACAAGGTTGCCTCTAATCCCGCGCACACCAGCGCACAACCACAATTTTTCACGGACTCAACCGGCCTTCGTGCACAGCGCTTGCGATCACTCGGCAGCAGATATTTAAAGGCTCCTTTAGCGCAGTAAAGCTCTTTCTACCATCGTTGTCTCACCTGAGATTTTAATTTGGAAGACCTTCGTATTTCTGACACAACAACCTGTGATAACCACACTCCGAGTGCACGCTCAAACGATCGCGGCTGCCGGTAAGTGCACAAGCACCAGTGCCTGCCTACCCCAATCCCATCTGGCCAATCATCTTCCTGTGGCTGATTCATAGATAACTTCCACACTCTCACACTTCGGACGCTGCCCCTCTCGGGTGCAGACGCACACTCGTCCGAGTGTCCACTTTCTCCAACATATTTTCCACTACCTCTGCACAGAATATAATATTCCTCTCACCTGGCGTCTAAATTCTTCTCCTGCCACACGAAACCATGCCTAAATATCAGAGTGCCAAGGGTTTTCTTTATTAACTTAAGCCTCTGCCATAGACTCTTCCAAATCTCATTTACTGCGTGTTAGTCATTCTGGGATAACTGAAAAGCGAAATAAATTCCCATTACGTCTATTGTTGGTGTCAGGTAACATATGTCAATATCGTATAAACTGGAAGGCAGGCATGTAGTGGTCTCTGCCGTCCGACACCCTCCATTGCTTTGTCCGGTGTCACTGTTCAAGGCCAGCTGCCTCAAGGTCATCCAGTACCTCAGTCAGCGCTTACAGCCACGCTGACCTGCAGAGACTTGATCTACTTCCACTCAGGCACGCACACACGTGCGTCTAGGTTCTCAAGGCTGCCGAAGCACCACTCGAACAAGTCCCCACTCTAGGCCACCATACATCACTTAGGACCACGGCGCTCCAGCGGAATGACGAAGTCCAACTTCTTTCCATCTATTCTTCATTCCTTTGTGTACACAATAAAATATTTCTAATATTTTGCTCTCCACTGACTTCTCCCATCTCATAAGGAACCGGGCCTGGAAGATTGTAGCTGTTAGGGCATAACCTTCTTAGCCTTAACACCTATAGGCATCCCAAGAAATGTAATTTCAAGGAAAGGCGTCCTCTCCTTGATAATACGTCAATATAAAGTAAAACTAATGGTTCAATCATGATTCAAGCTCGTCAGATAAAACTAAATTCATTTTTTATTGGCCACAAGCATTACTCAAAACACTATTGCAACAAGAACCGCCTATTGTTCCGACCATTCGGGCCTTATGAAAGAAGTTTGCAATTGCCTACAGACGGGCTGCGATAGGTAGGTTACTTCATCGATGTAATCTTGAATAGATAATTTTGAAAAGGCACTCTTACCGTTCAGATATCCTCGTGTTATAGATGTCGGCCAGCGCGCTCAATGTTGTGAATTGGTCTTCCATTGCACCTACTATTTCTAATAAACAATAAAATCAGATAAGCAACGGATCGGTGAATAACCATCCGGCTAAGACTGGTAGTTATGCATATCTAAAGTCAGGTTTATGTCGTTCGTTCAGGCTTTCTAGTATAACAGTACATCGCCTCAGCTTGAAATGTCTGGGACTAATTGCTCATCCTGTGGCTTGCTTAGAATGATCCGTTAATTTTCAACTCGGGTTTACTGTTCCGACAGAGCAAGAGAGGAATTTAGTCAGTTCTGCGACATCAGATAAATAGCTCTCGAAATATCTATCTCGTCCCTGGGCACAGCGGACTCTGGAAAGACAAAATGTCTGTTAACCGAACTCGGTTTCTAGGAGTCTTGTCCAAATAAGCACGGATTGTGCAAGTTTAACAGAGGTTAATTTTTGTATGGACAACACAGCGTGTGACAAAACCGCGTGAAACTGTAAGGACTGCAACAAGATTGGAAAACGTTAGCCTTTCGTCAAATAACCGGCATCCGTCTCTTCTCACTTTCGCTTTTATTTTGATTAGTTTAAGGATTTCCATTCTCATACCGGTCGGCTAAAATGATACTTTGAAGTTACGTCCAGTAACGACCTTATTTGAATATCCAGCACCCCGTTCATCGCAACATATATATTGACAATTCTGTCCTTGGATCTCTTAAATCCGGGTCTCTTCAACTAAATGAAGAGGTTTTAGCAAAACTGTCATTTGTCTACGGTTTCTGTAGTTTCAATCTTTGCACTCAGTGGGTTTTCTGAATAAAATATAGAAACATTACTACTTCCACTCTCTTCATCTGGCTGCATAAACGATATGAGCACGTGTTTCTTTTGAAAGTTATGAGCATTTGGCATAATTTTTTGTCTTTGTGCCTTCTGAGCCAGGAGGCCAAAGTTGGTTTTGCTGGAGGCGCTCAACAGAGGAGATTGTTTTGCTCATTATCGTTACACCTACCCAACACTCTCATAATGCAGTTTACAGAATAGTGTTCACAAGCTCACATCGAGTCTATACTGTCGGTAGCCAAAATTTGAGACACTTTCGATAGAAAATCAAAAGACTGTAGGGATTCACCGTAGGGTCGCCCAATAGCAAAAGCCTCCCCGTCCGAATGTCTTACGGAAATCGTGGTTGAAGGTTAAATACTTGATTAATGCTTAGTTAATGCGTGATGAGTGCACAGTAGGAAATAAATTAAAGCCGCTTGTTATGGTTTCGCTGAACTAAAAACGGGGCTGAAAAGGCTGTGGAAATGAAAAAAATACTAAAAGGAAAACCCATAGACCAAAAAAAACTAATAGGAGGGCTCCTATTGGCTGACATTATCAAAGAAGTGTTAAGATAAACGGAAATTCAACATACTGAAAATTTGCAAGTAGTTTTCGCTCATTAATTACTTCCCTCCGGCGGTTCCACAAGTAATCCCTAAGCAAAAAGCTTTCATTTCTACAGCGGCTGCCAAGGCATGACGATTAGCCTATCTCAACGTGCATAAACATTAAAAGCAAAAGCTTTCCTGGATGACTGGCGCTCTATTCGTAACAGCACCCGAGAACGGATCAATTATTCATAGAAACTCATGTGGAAGTATAATTAAATTCATTAGCTCTCCGGAAAATAAAGAGTATAAGGTCTTTGAAGCAGTATGAAATCGCGACCGAATTTATAGAAAAAATTCGCAAGACCCAGTGGTGACAAGGTTAGATAGTGACAGTTCCTCTGTCGACGTGACCATACTGTTGAAATCCATGCCGTCATTCTAGAGGTCAGCAAGTAGGTTCTGATGAATACGCCCTTTTGTAGGTCATCAGCTTTTTAAGCGCAACTGTACAACGAATAGTTTTTGTCGCTTATATCAAGTGATGCTGACCCTGGGAACAGCCCATGGAATGGGCACAGCAACGATGAAATGCGCTGCAAGAAACTGTCAAAAAGAACGGTGCTGAGAGTAGGAGCAGTGGCTAACAGAGGCTAAAAACTTGCTGATAAAGGTTCATCGACCGCTAACGAAACTCACTCGTCCCGCTCTGCCTTGGGTCTCATTATCGAGCCCCGTCAGCGGCCGTAGCGCAGTTATGTACGAAAAATGAATTGTGGACCTGTTGCATACTACTCAAAGGTCTGACGATGAGTTGAAGGATCGGTCGCAGAAAGAAAAAGCAAAACTTGTGCTTTCGGAGGAGTGGTATTTTAAATGTGCATATCGATGCAGCAGGTCCGAAGACAGTTGACAGAAAAGTTGGAATTCACCGAAGGCAAGTTGTCTAACATAAATGAAACATTTGGAGAGTTACCTGTTTCTTAAACGTCACCTTGTGACCAAATATGTCCAGGAATTTCATTATCCTATACCATACAGACGCTATTGCACTCACGGATATTTATGACACTGCCAACAGCTCTTAATAAAAGAAACAGGAAGCAGCACTTTTCCTTCTAGGCAAAAACGTGTGCGGGATGTTTTCGTGAAAAGCTTAAATACTATTTGCGCCTTTCGTATGCTTTACTAGGAAGATTTGTTTGTGTAAATAATGTATGTACGTTCTTCTGACTTGATCATTTATACATAAGCACTAAATATATTACTTGATGACTCCAGAATAAAGATTGCCTGGATTGAAACGCAAGCATTAGCCGACCACACATCATACCATTCATTATTCTAATAGCACATTGGAAAACAAGCCTTTATCTAGTTTTTAAAATCCAGGCAAGTGGAGATCATCATAAAACAAATAGATTAAATCCGGCATGCGTTAGCGGTTATTTATGCCTCTTCCCAAGATTTCGAAGGTGTAGTGAATGACTGGAGGCGTAATAGGCACACATAAAATAGCCTATATGTATACATAAGAAGCAGGAATCATTGGTGTCGCAATGCATGCAATATTGGGAAAGGAATATGAGTCAAACTGCCAAAACTGTTCAAGACAGGTCACAGCTTTTCTGAGCAGGCTGAGGTTAACCAGTCGAATGCAAATTGCCTTATTAAAAGGAGGAATCGCCTATGAATAATCAAAAACCTAACATTTGTCGCAAGTTTTCTATCTGAGTAAAATTGAAGGTTCCGTAAAAAGAGCTAGCATAATATAATATCATAATAATATAAAACGCACTAATGCACGATATTTTATAGTTTACTAGACAGGCAGACTTGGCTGTACAATATATCGGAATTGGCACATTACCTTGGCCGACATCATCCAGAGTAAACACCTTTTTCTTTGGTTCTGTTTTATCACTCATCGTGAGCTGGTCCTTATATTGTAAGTTATAAAACAACCGAGACTTACGTGCTGAGCAGTGAGGAATTTTTCCTGGATCTCTCTCATAAAGGATTTTAAATCATAGTTTGTGGTCGAAAAATCCAGTGGATTATCCTGTATCTTGAACTCCTTCAGTTCTTTAAG